TCTGTATTTTGTTGGACCGGCCCTTGAGGCTAGGTTCCCACTACATATGAAGGGACTGCATTGGATGGCTATTCCAGCACAGTTCCACTGCATGGACATGGAAAAATGCCTTCTCGTCTATGTGCCTGGTTCACACCACTGCGTTGTGGGGGTGTGCTGGCACGGTGAACTGAACTTGGAAAATCAAGCTGCCTCAAATTATCCATGATTATTACAATAGATAAAGATCTAATGTCTGCAAAAAAAGTACACATATGGCTCTAATACCTGTCTAGGAACTGATGAAACAAAAAAAAAGGGAAAATCATAATTTTTTTTTTGTGGCAGTAATGTTAATTTTTTTTTTTTCGGGGGTCATGCAAATCCACCCTCCTGACCAAACACTGTAAAGTATAGACTGGCAGGATCACAGCAAGGCTGAAGATGCTCCTCCACACAATACTCTGTCCCTGACTAGTTGGGCTGGCGCTAATCCCGAAGTACTTAACCAAGCATCCCAAATAGTTGTGAATTTCCGGGCACATCCTCTATGTTGGTAGATTAATTTCTCTCTGATTAGGGTATTGTTAACAACTTTAATCCATTGTGCATGGGAAGAAGGGGTAGGAGATAACCATTTCTGGGCTATGAGTTTCCGAGCAAGAAACAGCACTTGAGGGATGGCAACATAGGTATGAGGGGTATATAGCTCCTCATCTATAGCTCCCAGCAGACAAATCTTAGGGTCCAGGGGAAGATTAAAAATCCAAATTCTATTGATAATTTCTATAATGTATGTCCAGAATCTTATCAATTTAGGGCATCTCCATAACATATGGAGAAGTGTGCCATTATTAATTTCACATCTTGGACAGAGGGGGGAATCCCTCCTATTCCAGTCGTACAATTTTTGAGGAGTGCTGTAAGTACAGTGAATGATAAAAGCTTCTGAGTTGGCGATAGAGAGACTTTAATTGCATTTTCTAGTATTGTGGACCATTCCTCATCTGAGATAGTGTCTAAGTCTATTGACCATTGTGCCCTACAATTGAGGGACATCGCCTTAGAGACCCGGTGTACAAGAGATTGGTACAACGAGGATATCTGACCCTATAAAGTGATCTTTTAATAAGTTTCTCATGTATTATAGATGGAGTTATCACCAAATGTACATCAGCCATCTCCATTTACAGGCAGGTAGTGGAAGGGTAATAAAGAATACATTCTTCAATGTGGCTCTAATTACCAGTCCACACCCTGGCAGTCACAAGGATGGAATTGGTGTCAGACTGCATGTAGCTGGAACATCTGAGCAGTATATGCTAGTAGGATGATGCAGTAAAAATATCACCCAACACTCTTCTGCATGTCTGCCACAATATTACAGTGCAAGGTTTTGTGTGTGTACACACTGAACCAGACACTTGTTTCCACTAAAACATAATTTTTTTAAAAAAAATAACACAATAAAAGTACAAGATGCCCATACACCTTATCTATATTATATTGTATAAAGCAAGTAGCTTCTCAGAAAACCTTATACCTATCCTGACTACATGCATAAAAAAGAACTTTATACCTATTTTCAATCCGCTCTGGTCCGATAACATGTTCCTGAAGTTCTTTGTACGGGAGCGCTGAGCAGCAGCTCTTACTTCCATAGCCTTGCTGTTGTTGGTGCTCCCTCCACTCCCCTGAAGCAGCTACTCACTGACAGGGGAGCTGGAGATGTGGGATCACATGACTGGACCGATTAAAAAAAAATAGATATACTTTTTTTTAATACAGGTTAGGATAGGTAAGGGAGGGGGTTAACATTTTTAAGAATATATATAGCTAGGTTTTTCTTCCTGAAGTTCTGTGTAAGGGAGCGCTGAGCAGCAGTTCTGAATTCCATAGCCTTGCTGTTGTTGGTGCTCCCTCTGCTCCCCTGCAGCAGTTGCTCACTGATACAGGGAGCCGGAGATGTGGGATCACATGACTGGACCGATTAAAAAATAGATATACGTTTTCTTTAATACAGGTTAGGATAGGTAAGGGAGGGGGGTTAACATTTTTAAGAATATATATAGCTAGGTTTTTCTTACACTTTAAAACCATTGCTCCCCCCCACTTCCCCAACTATGCTGTAGCATGCTGGTAAAAAGGATCTGTGTAAACAACTTATTTTAATTCCCTCTGGTCTGGGGCTGAATTGCGGGAGCCGTGACATTACCTGCCAGCTTCCATTGCCCATCTGTTGTTGGAGCCCCCTCCTCTTACTGGCAGCAGCCGCTCCATGATACAGGGGAACCGGAGCTTCTACATCACATGACCGGACCAGAGTGGAATGAAAAAAGGTTCTTACACTGGTCTATTTATCAGCACTCTACAGCATAGGTGGTAAAGTAGTAGGGAAGCAGTGGTTTGAAGCATACAGTATATGTAGCCATTACGTGCTCTATAATGACATGTCATATGACCTGTTCCGTCGCTCGCTTTATACTTCCATAATGAATGGAGTGGAGCACTCCAGAGCATTCATGTAAAAAATAGAATGACTTGATTGAATAAACTCAGGAGACACAGTGACAGCTGTGCACAGCTTATCTGTGGTAATTATAACACGCTAATCATGGAAAATGTCCCTGGAAATTACTAGTTTCCTAGTTACATTCTTAGGCCATACCTGCCACCTACGCAGAATGATTTTGTGTAGCAGCTCACAGTATACAGGATGCATAGCAAAAACAGCTTGCGCCAATCGTGTCTGTTTGAGATGCTTCTGAGATCTTTCAGAATTCTCTGACAGATGCATGAAACCTGCAATTGAAATACTTTTGACTTGCATTGGACCTGCTTCAAGAGGGTTTGGCATTCCAATTATCTTGCATGGGAATGCAAAACTCGCTTGAAGCAAATAAAAGACCGTTGACAGCGACCTAAAGCATTATAAAAACAATACTTTTTAGAGTAAGCATTCTATAGCATTTTATTGTGTTTTGAATCATTTAAAGTGAACTTGTGCTTTACTCAAGTTTTATTTTTTATTTATTTTTTTCAATTTAAGAGCAAACGATGATCCCAAAAATTGTCAAAGCGTTGTCAGACCAATATAACGAGTTTACGACTGTTATTTCTCTAAAGCAGGCTTTACATACAATTTTCTTTGCAGGAAAGAAAATTGCCTAATTCCCCCATTAACACTGACTGTGTTGATGGGGGAATTCTTCCTGTTCTGCTGATGGGGAGCCTTCGTTGCCAGCATAACACAATGATCACTGGTGGCGGCTATAGCCACCAGCAGTGATCTCATGAAAAACAATATGACAGGCTGGTTGTACTGAAGTCAATTGACGGATCGACTTCAGTACAACCAGCCTGCTTATAGATGGATCCCTGCATAACCGGCTTTAGTTTACTAATTTTGAGAGGTAATATAACCACTTATGGAAGTTGCTAGGCATGGAGGGTGGTGGACATTGTAGAAAAATGGGCACCAGTCACTTTTAGAATTAAAAAATAATGAGTTTATTGCTGTGAACAGTAGAAAACTCAGGGACAGAGGGTTGGGGCACAGGACACCCTAAGTCAAATAAAGCAGCAGACTAGAAGACTCCTTAGACAAAAGAAAAGGGAGTAACCAGCAGAACCTTGAGGCTGTAATCAGCAATCTGTACTTTAGTTGCAACAACTGTCGCCCATAGCAACAAAGAGAAAACCCGGGATGAGACCATCTTGATGGTTTCCCAGGCTCTCCACAGTTCCTCGGTCTATGGCAGAATCACTTCATCTTTGTACTTTATCTCGGTTCTCCATCCTTTCCTTCACGCATCCAGACAACAAACAGACAACAAACAAACTCTCGGGTAGACCAGACCAAGGCCTGGGTGAAAAGCCCCTGATCACCTGACCTCCTTAAATATTTATACTTTATCCCATCATGCTCAGCAGCAATGAAACTCCTACTGATTGGCTGGGAAAAGTATACATATTCATAACGTAGCTTTACTGCTTTTCAACATACTAATGCCAAACATAACAGTGCCACCTATTGACAGAAGGGAGGAACTACAGCTACACCAGGCTTAGGAGATACCCCAAATGATCAAAAAAAACTATAAATCAACCAGGTTGCTACAACCCAGCACAGCTAAATTTACTGGTAGCCTTGATTAGGACAACGGTGCTACAAAAGAGATAAGGGAGAGGAGGAAAAAAACAGGGAGGAGGTGTCTATATACTCCCATCCTCTCTATATGAGTGCAAAACTCTCTCCTCTCCCTTCAATACATCTCTACAAAGTGAGGGGACATCCCTTCCTAGCAAGTTATCCCTAAAAATGGTGTCCCCATTTCAAGCTAGCAGGAGCCTGATCCTTTATCATGCTGGAGGCGTTACATGGGCTTCCTGGTCATGTGATCACTGTGATTGGTTGCTGGCAGCTTTGCTTCCAGCTCCCAATCATAAACAGTGACCGGAAGCTGTTGGTGACAGCGTTGGAGAACACAGTAGGTGACAGATCATGCTGAAGCACGGCCCGTGGGGTGTGTGCGAGACACAATTGTGGGAGGACATCATATGATGTCGTCCCAGGATCCCGCCCAGCCGTCATATTAGGCAGGGCAGGAAGGAGTTAAAATCCAGTAATACACTGTCTCACCCTGCTCTGCACATGCCTAGTTGCTGTCTATTTTTTGGCACTGCCAAAAATGTAGAGGCCGATCTGCTGACAGCATAAAGATTTACTGCTGCTCAGGGGCTCTGGGCTTCAGCAAAATGGCAGCCTCTGGCAAGAAGCTGGAGTTTGCATGTTCTCCCTGTGCCTGCGTGGGTTTCCTCCGGGTACTCCAGTTTCCTCTCACACTCCAAAGACATGCTGGTAGGTAAATTGCATCCTGTCTAAATTGGCCCTAGTATGTGTATGAACGAATGTGAGTTAGGGACCTTAGATTGTACACCCCGTGAGGGTTAGGGACTGATGTGAATGTACAATATATGTTTGTAAAGCGCTGCGTAAATTGATGGCGCTATATAAGTACCTGAAATAAATAAATAAAATAAATTAGAAGAAATGGGAGCAATACTGTAGAAAATGTACAGCACACACTAATTTTGTTAGCATAATTATTAATTTTTATTATTAATAATTATTAATGTGGAATGTATGTTCTTTGCTAAAGAACATTGTCTTTTATCAAGTTGTTGCGGGCAAAGTTTGTTTTAAAATTGTGATTTGATTACTACCAGCAATGTTACCTTGTAATTAACTGCTGTACCACTCCCTACCTCCAGGGGGCAGCAAATGATCTTCATATCACAGACACCTTCATCACCCAGCTGACCTAGTTGTACCATGAAGCCTCATTACACATGTAAATCTTATTTATAGGGAAGTGATATTTATGATGGTTGAACATAATGGGACACATGGAAATACTAAATTACCTTTTGCAAATTTTCCATATAAGCTCCATAAAACTCCACCCAAACTCTAATTTTATTTTTGGGTGGTTGCTGGAAAGTTAAAAATACATTTAATCCTTTACAATAATATCTGGTTACTGGTTACTTCATAATGGGACAATTGTGAGAGCAGGGGATAAATAAAGGTGAATGTGGCTAAAATAAAATTGACCCTTGCAGTGGGGCTTGGCTGCAGGTTAGACACTTCGTGAAGTTTTTGGGAAGATCTATCCCTCGGTTTGTCCTGGTGGCCATTATTAGTCCTCATGCACACTGGATGTTTTTACAGTGGCTGTTTTTGGCTTTTGACGTTTTTTTCTACAGCCAGTAAACCCCCCAGCATGTTATCCTATGTGTCCATGCACACATAGACTGTAATCAGCGTTTTTTGGCAGGGACGTTTTTTTGGCTGGAAAAAAAACCCAGGACTAGTGGGTTTCTAGAGGAGTTTTTTTAGCTGTAAAAAACGCGGCAAAACTCTGCAAACCGGCGTTTTTGGACTTTTTGTGACCAAAAAAACACAAAAACGCAAACATGGAAAAAACGCTGCTAATTGCGAAAAAGTGCTAACGTTACCAGAGTTTTCAAAAAGCCCAGTGTGCATGAGGACAACCAAGACAGAAAATGATGGGAAAAAATCCAACATTTTAGAACTGGCATTAGTGCAAGTGCTCCAGTGAAGCCTGTTCCTTGTGACAGCCTTCTAAAATGGGAATTCCTCAAGTTTCTATTTCTATCTTCAGGATAGGAAGTGATATGAAAGCTTCCCAGCTGAAGGAAGGCAGCAAAAAATAACCTGATAGGGGTGTAGACTCTACCCTACGCTATCCAAAATTGTAAAAAATATTTTGGCTTTCCATAACATTTTTATTGTTATCTCAGGATACACTGAGTTAGGAAGCTGGAGCACGATATGTGGATTCTGGAAAAGAACATGGCTAGGGAAACATGCTTGCATTGTTGGCCAATGATCACATGACTATCAAAACCAGTGGATCTTGTGAGCTGCTATCAATTGTACAAATGGAAGCAATAATGTGAATCGCCCACACTAATCACACTCCCATATAGATGTGTAATAATTTATATATAACCAGCACAGTGCTGCACTTCACTAAAATAAATAGATCCTATACACTCTAACTCAGAATGTAATACTAGTGCACTTCATAGTCACCAACAAGGGCGGACTGACAACTCATGGGGCCCCCAGGCAATAGGGGATCATGGGGCCCCTGTGTACTTGCCCAAACTCAAAAAAGCCTATGAAAAAGGTACCAGGGGCATCTCATGGGGCCCCCCCTACTGACCCCGGGCCCTCAGGCAGTGCCCGAGTTTCCAAATGGTCAGTCCGCCCCTGGTCACCAATATCACAAATATAATATTCATAAACATCAGTGTGTGAAATTAGTTCCAAAGGACAGTCCCATATCCACTTGAAAAACTTCAAATATGAGTAAACTTCACATTTATAGAAGCTTCTAACAATATCGTATGTACCAAACTAATAATTCCAACACGGGGTGACACACCACCCTTCACCAGATGTGCTCTCACTTGAAATATATGACCAAACTATAAAGTGAAGTCATATAGCACTTATGTCCCTAATGCAGGACTGATATATGTTCCATGGTCGAGATTCAGCGATGTGAATGACAGCCTCGGTTGTCCCGGTTCTCTGCCTCCTCATTGGCTGAGACAGCAAGCGGGAGCCATTAGCTCCGCTGCTGTCAATCACAGCCAGTCAGCCAATGAGGAGAGAGAGGGGGCGGGGCCAAGCCTCAGCTTCGTGTGTGAATGGACACACAGAGTAACAGGTGCCCCCATAGCAAGTTGCTTGCTGTGGGGGCACCCGACAGGTGGTAAGGGCCAGGAGAGCCTGCTGGGGACCGGAGAAGAGGAGGATCCAGGCTGCTCTGGTCAAAACCACTGTACACAGCAGGTAAATACAGACATGTTTGTTATCCCCCCTAAAAAAAAATTAAACATTAGAATCGCTTTAATTCTTTTTCTCCCTGATGAAGCTCTGTGACCTGGTGGCATAACGTGTAGGGGAGAGGCTTGATGACATGATGCTTGAGGTCTATTGAGATGCGGTAACTATCAGCTGGCTGTATACTGATCGGTGTATGTACATCATTGGATATATTTAATGTGTGATATAGTGTGGGGCACTTACAAGTTGTAAAAGTGAGTTTATATATTGGAAATAATTTTATGGCAATACATTTTAAAAAGGATAAGCACTATACTGGTGATTTTTCCTTATGGATGATCAAAAAATGTGGAGGCCTAGCGAGCGCACACGTAAGCAGCTAAATGCACTGATAAAAGGAACCACAAAACCTTTCAATAGCAAGCAAAATAAAGAAATAAAGTGAAGGAGGAACCTTTTTACTTACGGCACCAAATTCACCAGTAGCCAGGTTAGCAACCGAGACGGTTTTGACAGCACACACTGAAGTGTCTAATAGGAGGTGCTGTTTGGAGAGAAGCGTACAGTGTGTCCAGGACCCCAGACGTCCGATTCGGACCAGAGGAGGGAGGTGATAGACCAGACCTGCACCCACAACTGGATTAAGGGACCCCCTGGTGTTCCATTCGGACCAGAGGGAGGTGATAGACCAGACCAGTACCCATCATTTGATTGAGGGACCCCCTGGAGGACATCAACATTCCACCTGGCTGTTCCCACATCAGACTTCCAGCTGGTCTTGGATTCTTTTATGCACATATTGATTGCACTTCTGGTTAGTAGGCAATCTTACCATTCTTTCACTGGATACCGCATTGGATATCATAACAGAACTGTCACATCAGCACTCCTTATATCCATTAAGGAGCTTGTCTACCTAAGACTGTATTCATTAGCTTTCTATTACTTTAGCGCTGCACTTTATTTCTTTATTTTCTTTCCTTATGTATGCATGACTGAGGTGGATCGATAGGAGGAGGATCAATGGGAGGAGGAGGAGAGGTGGATTCTTAAGGAGTGTAGATTCATCTGACCCAACTAGGAACATATATCAGTTCTGCATTAGGGACGTAAGCGCTATATGACCTCACTTAACGGTTTGGTCATATATATGTGAGAGCACATCTGGTGAAGGGTGGTTTGTTCACCGTGTTGGAATTATTAGTTTAGTACATACGGTGTTGGAAGAAGCTTCTATATTTGTGAGGTTTTCTCATATTTGAAGTTTTTCAAGTGGATATGGGACTGTCCTTTGGAACTAATTTCACACACTGATGTTTATGAATATTATATTTATGATATTGGTGACTATAAAATGCACTAGTATCACATTCTGAGTTAGGGTATATAGGATCTATTTAAGTAAAGCGCGGCACTTTGTTGGTTATATACTGTATAAACGATCACATGACTGCCGCACTCTCCCTTAACAAGCATTGTGTGTGGTGCCCAGGACCATGATAGCTGAATCTATACATTCAGCTTGATAACTAGGACCTAAAAGAGCTAAAATCAGTCTGGGGGCATGATAGAAAAAATCAAGAGCATGTTGTTCAAGGGAATTTGTCTGGAGCAGGGATGAGCTCAGGTCTGGTACGAACTTGAGTTTGGACCAAAAACAGAAGACCATATAAGGTCAGTTGTGTCATGAGCATCCCTGACCTTCTGTGTACGTGCAGATGCTGGGTGTAGCACCCTCATAGTTAGTTAGGAAGAGCTAGATAATTATTTTTTTAATTAGAAGCTGAATAGCAACCTGATGCAATAGCCAGAGGGTCAAATTTGGGTCATTGCTGAGAGGCTCTGCAGATCAGTTCCCTGATACCTCCCCCTGATCTAGAGACTTGGAGAAGTCTCTAGAACTCAGTGGGTGGGGGGGGGGGGGCGAGGAGAGGAGCTGATCTGCACTCTCAGGGGATCTAGGCCAATGCCCAAGCAGGAGGTTTGGCATGGGGTCAAGACAGCCCTTAAGTGTGATCAAGCCTGCTCAGTGGCAGGAGGAGTTTGGGTGGGAGATGGAGTGAGCAGGATGGTGTGTAGCCTGGGAGGGGGTCCAGGAGAGGAGCCTACCTACAGGTGGAGGAGATGGAAGGGAGGATCTCTCAGCCTCATCATCCCGAGAGAGGACAGCCTGGGAAGTGGGAAAGGAGCCAGCCCAGCGTAAGGCCTAAGGCAGCCACCAACCCACAAGCTTGCAGGAGAGACTGAGTGAGTAACCCCACAGACCCTGTGCCGTATAAGGGGAGAGGGCATTCGGGTGCGAAACCTAACTAGCCCACATCTCAGACTGTTTTTATCTAAGGTGGAAACTTCTGGGTCCCCTTGCCTAGGGATTCCCTCAGGCAGCTGAGTGAAGAGGAGATTTCATCTGGGGTCTGAGGTGGTGCAGAAGGAGAGGCTGGATAGCTCTCTGGGAAGAGAAAACCCCTCTGAGCACTTGTACATAATTCCAGGAAGTTGTCCTCAGTTCAGCAGTTCCTTGGGCATCCCATGTATCCCTCATCCCCATCCAAGTTTCAATTCCCTAATAAAATCCAAAAAATAAAGTAAAAGGACTGTTTACTGTCTCTGGAGTGCAAGGCTGGAAGGAAATGCGTGTTGCCTCTCTGTGCAGGACTATAGGGGGACCCAAATCTCTAGCGCTTCCTAAAGGGGTAGTACTAAATGGGCATGGAAAGCACTAGCCACAGTTGATTGGGTGGCAGTGGGCAGGAGTGACAGTTTCCTTTCTGGCTAGACCCAAACCAAAGTTCAGACCAAACCCAAGCTTATCCCTAGCCATGAGAGATTATGGAGTCTGACATTGCTAAATATTCCTTTTTAGGAGGTTGCTAGTGCTGATGCTTTGGCTTAATGGATTTTTGAGCTGCTGACCTGGAACAGGTGTAAAAAAGACATTTGAACACTTTTCTGACACTCATTTTCAGTGTGTTTATTCCAGGTCTGTGACTCAAACGTACCCAAAGAATAAGGCCTCATTCACACCAGTGTGCAGAGAGACGCAAGCTTTTCTGCACGAGTTCTGCAAGGGTACAAAGAAGACAATTGTTCTCTATGTGTCCTGTTCACACCACAACACTAGTATCAAATGCAGATTTTATTCTGCGCGGGAATCTGCAACGTTTGCAAAACTCACTTAAACGTGCATGAAAACTGATGTAAACTCGTGTCTCAGCAAGTGAAATCTGTGCATTTTTTCCATCCGTTTTTTTGCATATATAGTGCGGAGGAGGCCTACGCACATTTTTGGAAAAAAAATGCACTTACTCGTTTTGCCTCAACCTAAACCATCCCACCTTCCCCCTTTGCAGATCCATTGTTCCCTGTCATCTGTTGCCCGCGGAACTTCAGGATTGTTTACATCTCAAACCGAAAGACTTCCTCTGCTGGCCGCACCTGTGCATTACACTCCAATATACTTCTATGGGGCTGTCAACCAGATTAGGAGACAAATTTAGACAAGCGTGGCTTGTACAGTTTCGTCTCTCTCCTTATACAATTTTTTTTTAGATTTACCAAAACCATATAATATGAGACCAAACCTAAGCACTTGAAGGTAAATCTAAAAGAATTTGAACAAGAAAATTCCATAATGTATGGTCAGCTTTAGTCAGACACAGGCAGGTAACCAGCATTTTCAAAAGGAGGCCAGCAATTGCTGCATCATACTTCTTCCATGAAAAAGTCACTTTAAAGTGACACTAAACTCTGGTTAAAAAAAAGAGAATTGTATTCAAGCATGTATTCTTAAAGTGTTACTAAACCCAAAACAGTAAAATCAGTGTTTATATGCAATAAAGCATCCTTGTTATACTCACTGTGGAATCTAAGGGGTTAGATCTCCCCATTGTGTAAAAATGCTGTTTGATCCTGACTTCTCTGATCCTCCCCTTCTTCTACTGCCCCCCTCTTATCTCCTGATAAGACATAGCATGTGCAAACACACTGCACATGCTTAGTTTGGTGTGTATTGCTGGATATTTGTTTTTCTTGGGAGAGTGCATGTGAACAGTACAGGGCCAATCAGCACTGTCCAGACAGAGGTCAGGGGTTCTGCATCCCCTTAGAGCAGAAAGAAACCTCCTCCTACAAGCTTTAACTAGTGCTCTGCTGGACACTGGTAGAAGTCACAAGACTGCTCTAACTGCTGATGAGAAAATGTATTTAGCAGTTTATATTTACTAAAATAATTGCATTTTCCTATGTTCTGTGTACTGTGGGAGACCGGATATAGTGAATGCGGGGGGTCCTGGGTTTAGTAACACTTTAACTTAAAAAGTCCTTGCTATTGCTCTCAGCCACCTCCAAATTTACAAATTCATTTTATCTGGTAGAGGATGACTTTGTTCGTTCTCCATGTTCCCACTGTATGTAGAAGTGAAGCCACCATCTCTTGCTTGCTCCCTAGACAGACTATGGACCAGGGGTGGACTGACAACTCATGGGGCCCCCGGGCAATAGGGGATCATGGGGCCCCTGTGTCCTTGCCCAAACTCAAAAAAGCCTATGAAAAAGGTACCAGGGGCATCTCATGGGCCCCCTACTGACCCCGGGCCCTCGGGCAGTGCTGAGTTTCCAAATGGTCAGTCCGCCCCTGCTCTGGGCTGTGGGAAACTGAAGTGAGAGGAAGAAAAGCAGAGGTTTGGGAGTTCACAGGACATTGCAAGGAGGCAGAAAGAAATTATTTCATGAAAAAAAAGTTTTCAGGGCCATTAAAAAACGGGATATGAATGGATTCATTTTGAAGGATAAGGATATAATTTGGTGTCACTTTAAGGGCAACATTCACACGCTACACCTCTCAGTTTTAAAAAAAATGTGTCATTTGTAAAGTTGTAGAAAAAGGAAAAAATATGCAAATGGATTCTACAGAGAAATAAAATACAAACGTAAGCTGCGTGACCTCTGGATACAACTGCACAGTGCACTATAGGAGCCAATAATAATAAGCACAGTTTTAGCCCATGAATGTGTTGTATATGTTGATTAGTGGATTAATGCCAATTTAATAAGAGGGTGCGAGCTTAAGATGATCATAATAACTGGTTTGCTGTAGATAGGGACATTGCACAATATAATCGCAATGAACTGGGAAGAACAGACAATAAACTGTCTGACTGGAGGCTTACCTTGGCACAACTGGGCCCTGGTACAAAATATGAGCCAGGTCCCCAAGCTTTAATACCTTACCCATTGCCCCACATTTAACATCCCCTACCCCATGACTTCCCCTGCAAGTACCATACCCACCCTGTTGCTTTCTGTTCCTAAAACCCCTCGACTCTCATATCCCCCCATCACACATACCACCCCAACTCTTACATATAACCTATTCCTCCTTGTATGGAAATCCCTTTCCTTTCCAACTTGCAACTTGCTCAAGGTGATGGAGAGGGTACTTGTTAAAGACAGGAGAAATCCTACAGGATCCTTGAAAAGTGGCCTGGTTGCTCTCACAACCTCTGTTATCCTTGTTCTCATTCCACTGTGTGGCATAACAATAGCCATAGCAGCCCACACATCTGCTATGAGGCTTGGGGGGCCCACGTAGAGCAGCTGTTGAGGCAATTTAAAGCTGGACTCCAGGAATTATATGCCTACTTATGTTGCTCCAGCTTGGAATGATGTAAATATGCATTACTCATACCTGTTGGACTTCTGGAATCACTGTAGTAGTCAGTGCTACTACAGTGATAGCCACGATCATCTGGGTCTGGTTCTGGGGATGCTGGAAATCACTGTAGTAGTCTGTGCTACTACAGTGATAGCCACGATCATCTGGGTCTGGTGCCAAGAGGCTTCCCCTCTGCACACTGACAGTACTGCAGCCATTCATAGAATACCTTGCATTTTTTTTCAATGAATACAAAGCATTCTCTGATTGGATGTCACCACCCCTTCTGTTCACCTTGTCCAATCAGAAAAAGCTAAATGTTTGCAGAAAAAGATCTTTCTCTGGATCTACTGATTATTGCAACACACGGTTTTCACTAACAGTAACCTCTATTTTAATGGTCAGTTCCACCCAAACTGATATTTTGATATTTCACCATGGCTGAAGAGGTTGAACCACTTGCTGTTTTTATATTCTAGTGGTCCCGGTGGTAAGATGCATTTGTGTCTCTGCCTTTCTCACATGGCCACTGGTCTGGTGTTCACTTTAGGGAAAATCCATCAAACAAAGATATATTTTTTTCATGCCTGTGGCAGATGAAAGTTGAGTTATCCAAGAGACAAGAATCCAGCATGCGACTCTGGTTGTTACAAGCATGTAACACTGAAACAGAAGTTTGTGGATTTTTGACCTTTAAAAAGATAATTTTTGACTGATCTCCCAGCTAGAATGACTACCAATGTAAGGATGCTATTTCCCATTGACATACAATGTAAAAGGTAACTTCTAAACTGATAACCAGTGCAAGGGGGCTTTTCTCCTCTACCCCCACCAATGTAAAGAGGCATTTCTCCACTGATTCGTATTGTAAAAGGGCATTTCTTCACTGACCACTAATCTAGGGGGACAAGGATAGTGAGGATTGGATCTTTTAGTGGTACCCTGGAGCTGGGTACACACTGGATGAAAATGGTCTAGTTCCTGCTTTCATTCAGTGTGTACAGCTGTCTACAGTAGCCAGTCCAATGACTGTGAAGCACTGATCAGTGTATTCTGGTGGGGGAGGGGAGTCCCCCTGTCAAAATAAAATAGCACAGCATGGAGATTGCCACACCAGCATTGATTGTGTTCATACGTTTGTTCTGTCAGTTTTTTTTTTTGTTCAACCCGCTGGGTTGAATGAAAGCAAACTTGCAGTGTGTACCAGGCTTTAGAGAACAATGATAGCCACTTTGTTCTCATAAATGCAAGGGGGGTCTCTGTACAACATGGCCAATCCCCATGACATCCACTGCGACAGCGGCAAATTCTGGCACTGCAAACAATAAGCAAATGTCTCCCCTTCTGTCATTTAGGCCTATCTGGAGTCAAATCTTTTGAAAGTTTGATTGTTCCAGCTCATTGTTATGGCTTTCCCCAGAGATAAGCTAGTGCTATGCACAGGGGCGGACTGACCACATTTGTAAACTCGGGCACTGCCCGAGGGCCTGGGGTCAGTAGGGGGCCCCATGAGATGCCCCTGGTACCTTTTTCATAGGCTTTTTTGAGTTTGGGCAAGGACACAGGGGCCCCATGATCCCCTATTGCCCGGGGGCCCCATGAGTTGTCAGTCCGCCCCTGGCTGTGCATGCTCCCTTTCCTTTCTAAAGCCTAGTACACACAATCGGAAAATCGTACGAAAAAAGGCCGCTTTCAAAGTGATCGTACGATAATCTGATTGTTAGTACACAGCTTTCATCTGAAATTATTAAAAGAGACACGCACGAAAGGTTTTCTCATACAATACGCGATCATACGATTTTCATTTAATCAGTATAGTTTTCATCTGAAAATACAATACAAATACAATACAATACAGTACATCATTTCCAAATTTTTATCCTGTCATACAAGAATTTTTGAAACTTGAGTAATCTCTTAATTTCCAATATGAGACTAACATGCAAAAAAAAAAAAAAAAAAGGGTAATAATTCTTCCGGTATTCTGATTGTGTGTACAGGGTTTTAAAGGCCAATCACACAGGTTTACCTAATCCCTATGTGTAGTGTGAAAGATGGTGGGCACCCTGTGCTAGGTGCCCTTTATTTTACTATCCTGGTGGATTCAGTGCTGTGGCTGGCCAAGCTACAGAAGATCAATGACTCAGAGCTGGTGCTGATCATGGATATCCTGGGTCTGGGCATAAATTTTGTGGGTCTGCTGGTCTTCAAAAATGATGGAATGTGACTGCAATGCACCCAGAGATGCATAAAGACACAGGGTTCAAGGAACCCTAAGAGATCATCCAATGACCAGCTGAAGGTCACCCCCTATAGGTCAGACTGACAAGGGGCCAAGATCATGGACCATGACTGAGAAAGTGCCCTAAGGTTATTTCACCATTTGTTTTGGGTAGTGGGTTCTCTAAAGGGGCATTAATGAACTACACATTTCCCAGCTGCTAAGATGTCATCCAATGGCAGTTGTGGCCTTCTCAGTGGTCAAATCCATTGTCCAGGTTATATCAGCCCATTGTTATTGCTTTCTCCTGAGATAAGCTGGTGATGTGCACTCTCCCTTTCTTTCTCCATAGGCCAGTCAGTTTTTCCCAATCCCAATATGTGGCTTTGTAAATACTTAGTGTGGTGGGCGCCTGGTGCAATGCCCTTTGTTTTCCCTTCTTGGTGGATGCAATGCACACTGGCCAAGCAACAGAAGATCGATGAATGTCCTTCTCCATAGACCAATCACACAGATTCAGCTTATCCCAATGTGCAGCTTTGTAGATCTTTAATATGAAAGATTATTTGTGACCACATTGTGTACCTACAGCCCACTACCATCTAGAATGTGCAGGTCCATTGCCATTCCATTTAAACTGGCCGTAGATGGATTGAAGTTTGTCTGGTTCAGCAGGGACAGTCAAATTGCAATCTATCTATGGATGTTCCTATTCATAAGAAGTTGATCTAATGGTCAGCTTCTCACAAATAGGCTTGTTGGAAAATTTTTGTTCAGTGCTGCAGCCAGTTGATCAGTGTATCCTGACAGCGGAGGAGTCCCCGCTGTCATCATACAATAGCGCAGAGGGGAGGATTCCCCACATCCACCTGTTTTTGAATTGTGGAATCTAATATTTTTTTTTCCTGATTAGCTTGCTGGCTGATGAAAAAAAAAAAAAAAACAACTGATTAACATATGACCAGCTTTAGACTGCACTCACAGCTAGGCGTTTTGAGAGTACGTGCACAATCTCGCCATGCTTACGTGTGCTTTGTGTGCGATTTTGCACTATGCAGATTGGCACCCCATTCATTTCAGTGGGCTGCTCTACAAGCAACAAACATGTCAAAGTAGCTTATATAACTTTTCGATGTGTTTGTTGCACATTTTGCTTGAGGCATTTGGGGTGACATTTACAATGAATGAAACCACAAAAGTGCAAAATGCTTAAGTACGAGTGGGGCCCTAAAAAACTACAATCTACATGATGACTATTATGAAGATTGTTCAATCATAACAAATCTGTTACAGTGTATCATTATAAGTGATTTGAACACACAAACAAATATATATGCTTTATTGCCGAAAGTATTGGAACGCCTGGCTTTGAACTTTAATGGCATCCCAATCTTAGTCCGTAGGGTTTATTATTGAGCTGGCCCACCATTTGCAGCTATAACAGCTTCAACTCTTCTGGGAAGGCTGTCCACAAGGTTTAGGAGGGTGTCTATGGGAATGTTTGACTATTCTTCCAAAAGCACATTTGTGAGGTCAGGCACTGATGTCGGACGAGAAGGCCTGGCTCGCATCTCTGCTCTAATTCATCCCAAAGGTGTTCTGTTGGGCTGAGGTCAGGACTCTGTGCAGGCCAGTCAAGTTCCTCCACCCCAAACTTGCTCATCCATGTCTTTATGGACCTTGCTTTGTGCACTGGTGCGCAGTCATGTTGGAACAGAAAAGGGCCATCCTGCCACATGTGCAATTAGTCCAGCTGGGACATTTCCTTGCTACTAAATTTTCCATGGTCAGCTGTTAGTGGTATTTGAACATAGTGGAAGCAACTGTGAACAACAGCAGCAGGTTCAGCGTATGCTGAAGCACACAGTGCGCAGAAGTCACCAACTGTCTGTAGCTAAGTCATTAGCTAAAGACCTCCAAACTTTGTGTGGCCTTCAGATTAGCACAACAACAGTGTGTAGAGAACTTCATGGAATGGGTTTCCATGGCCGAGCAGCTGCATCCAAGCCTTACATCACCAAGTGCAATGCAAAGCGTCGGATGCAGTGGTGTAAAGCATGCCGCCACTGGACTCTAGAGCAGTGGAGACGTGTTCTCTGGAGTGACGAATCACGCTTCTCTGTATGGCAATCTGATGGACATGTCTGGGTTTGGTGGTGCCAGGAGAATGGTACTTGCCTGACTGCATTGTACCAAGTGTAAAGTTTGATGGGGGGGGGATTATGGTGTGGGGGTGTTTTTCAGGGGTTGGGCTTGGCCCCTTAGTTCCAGGGAAGGGAAGTCTTAAGGCATCAGCATACCAAGACATTTTGGACAATTTCATGCTCCCAACTTTGTGGGAACAGTTTGGGGATTGCAACTTCCTGTTCCAACATGACTGCACACCAGTGCAGAAAATAAGGAACTTGCCTGGCCTGCACAGAGTCCTGACCTCAACCCGATAGAACACCTTTGGGATGAATTAGAGCGGAGACTGCAAGCCAGGCCTTCTCATCCAACATCAGTGCCTGACCTCATAAATGCGCTTCTGGAAGAATGGTCAAACCTTCCCATAGACACACTCCTAAACCTTGTGGACAGCCTTCGCAGAAGAGTTGAAGCTGTTATAGCTGCAAAGGGTGGGCCAACTCAATATTGAACCCCACAGACTAAGACTTTTGGCAAGATAGTGTATTGTATGCAGGGGCGGACTGACCATTTGGAACCTCCGGCACTGCACGAGGGCCCGGGGTCAGTAGGGGGCCCCACGAGGTGCCCCTGGTAGCTTTTTCATAGGTTTTTTTTAGTTTGGACAAGGACACAGGGGCCCCATGATCCCCTATTGAGGGCCTGGGGTTAGTAAGGGGCCCCATGAGATGCCCCTGGTACCTTTATCATAGGCTTTTTTGAGTTTGGACAAGGACACAGGGGCCCCATGATCCCTTATTGCCCGGGGGCCCCATGAGTTGTCAGTCTGCCCCTGGTTGTATGTGTACATATATATATATATAGATAGATAGATAGATAGATAGATAGATAGATAGATAGATAGAGATACACATGCTGACACATTGGACAGAAATGTTTCAGTCCAGCGTACACTAGCCGGTGAATGGATTGCACGGGGTTGATGTAATCCTGTACGGGGTGATGATCCTGGGGTACGGACAGTCCGGTGACATGCAGTGATGAGTGCACTCGGTCAGGTATGATGGGAGGAGTCACATGGAGCTGACACCGTGCTGAGTACGTGCCGCTGTCCTGGAAAATAGGAGCGGCCGGGCTGGGCGGTGACATCACTCCGGCACAGCTTGGAGCCCTCGGCTCAGTCTATATAAATTGCAGCGCTCAGCCTGGTGACACCACGTGAAGAAGTGACTGAGGGAGCCGCTGATACATTTGTACTGCAAGACCCCACTGCTCACCTACCTTCCTGCACTGCAAGACCCCACTGCTCACCTACCTTCCTGCACTGCAAGACCCCACTGCTCACCTACCTTCCTGCACTGCAAGTTCCAGCTGCTGATCTACCTTTCTGCACGTCCAAATTCCACTGCTGTTCTACCTCACTACACTGCAAGAACCTACTGCTGACCTACCTTCCTGCACTGCGAGATCTCACTGCTGACCTACCTTCCTGCACTGCGAGATCCCACTGCTGACCTACCTTCTGCACTGCGAGATCCCACTGCTGACCTACCTTCCTGCACTGCGAGATCCCACTGCTCACCTACCTTCCTGCACTGTGAGATCTCACTGATCACCTACCTTCCTGCACTGTGAGATCTCACTGCTCACCTACCTTCCTGCACTGTGAGATATTACTGCTGACCTACCTTCCTGCACTGTGAGATCCCACTGCTGACCTACCTTCCTGCACTGTGAGATCCCACTGCTGACCTACCTTCCTGCACTGTGAGATCCCACTGCTGACCTACCTGTGCTGCTGAGCATCATTGCACTTATCCTCTATCAGGCAGTGCTGTATGGTCCTACTGTTTCAGTAGGCAGTGCTGTTTGATCCTGCTTAATGTTTAGAAACAGTACTGACATTATATACGTGACATTTTAGTACTGCCTGGTGTGTTTGGCTCCTTTAAATTGATTGCAGATACAAGACTTGAGTTCACTGCTCAGTAGACAGCTCACGCTGGCTTGCATACTGCTTGGTTCCTGGTGCCATATGCTCAGTAGCTGCAGAATCTGCAGAGCAATCACAACCACTAATAAGGTACAGAGCTGACAGTGACCCAATCTGTGGTCCCGCTGACCCTTTGAGACCTTCTTTTTTCCTAGCACTGACTATCATCCCTCCTTGCTGCCATGGGGCGCTACACTGGGAAAACCTGCCGGCTGATCTTCATGCTGGTTATCACAGTTATCTTCTTTGTGGCAGAGCTGGTATCTGGCTACTTGGGCAACTCCATCGCCCT